GCAAGTGACAGGGACCCCAAAGACTTGGGTTCAGATCCATTCCTACATAAACTAGACAATTTGAAGCAAGTCTTTTAATCTTTCCACACTTTAAAAAAAAATAGACGGTAAAATTCAGTGTTCCCTAACAAAGCACTAATATTCTTTGAGTCAGTGGTTCTACCCTCACAAAGCAGGGGGTGGGCAGAGGGGAAACCATTGCTATCAAATGGAGTCCAATTCCTAGTGACCCTATAGGACAGAGTAGAATGGCTCCATATGGTTTCCAAGACTGTAACCTTTACAGAAGATGGCTACATCTTTCTCCCACAAAGCAGCTGATTGGTTCAAACCACTGACCTTTTGGTTAACAGCTGAGCATTTAACTACTGTGCTACCAGGTTTCCTCACAAAGCCAGAGGATAAACAATTTTACAGAACTTTTATTTCTCTCCCTTCTTATTCCCAAAAAGTACCCTACATTCCAATTTCCCCCAGGCTATTTGGTCATTGTCCACTGTGCTATAAGGTCATCCAATCCTAAGCAGTAATTTTTAAGAGATGCCCATTTGGATCCAATTTTAAAGAGGCACCATTGAGAATGCACAACTGTGTCTCAATCCCCTATTAGTTGGATTCGCCTTTCCTTTTAGTCTTCTTCATCCCTTCCCTTGTTGGCATTTTGATGAGCATATACAGTGAGATCCACAGGGATATTGAGGGATAATATTTTGAAAGTATCACTTATTTTTTATTCCCATTAATTCCTTTAGCTTCACCTACCTAAGTTCTCACAACTTGCCATTGCTTTTCATTGCCTTAGGGGAAGAACACACCAGAGAAAAATGGCAGAACTACCCCCATTAGTCTTTTCTGTCATTTGTTTAACAAAAGTCCTGAAGATAAAGGAGGCTCTCAAAGTAACCTTAAACCAAAAACCAAACTCATTGCCGATGAGTCAGATTTGACTCACAGTGACCCTTTCTTGGGTTTCTGAGGTATTATCACTATGGAAGAAGATTGCCCACCCTTCCTTCCGAGGAGTGGTTGGTGGGTTTGAACCTTCAGCCTTCTGGTTGGCAGTCAAATGCCTTAGGCACTACACCAAATAACCTTAAGGGAAAACAATTTCCTTCAGCTCTTAAAGGGACTCACTCAATGTCAAGGAAGAGAGAGGTAGGGCCATGAGAGCAGAGGAGACCTGTACTTCACTCCCTAGTATCATCACCTAGAAGGCAGCAAGACCCCAGAGAAAGAAGGGAATGGCTGATAGGACCAAAAGCAGCCTCACCCAAGATATCCTTGACCCAAGGTGAGTATGAGGCATGGCTGAGAGTCATCATTCCTAGAGGACAGAAGCAATGGAGGTGGACAGATGTGGAAAGACCCAATAGCACCCTACTTTAGGGCCTTAGCATTGTTTAAGATCCAGAAATTACAGAAAGCCCTGGGGAGAGATGGGGAAACCCCCAAAAGGACTGAAGTTAAAGTATCTTTCCACTAGCTTAGCAGAATAAAGCTTGGTGTCAGAAATTAAAATCTGAAGTTGAGTTACTAAAACAAAGAAAATTGTTAGATATATAATTCCCCTCTAAGATTCTTATCTGCTATGTGTCCATATATATTTTTTGTGTTGGCATTGTTCTTATCCTTAAAAGAACCAGTGTTAAATGCCTGAGAGACCTCATTTGGAATCTTCTCTCCAAAATAAAAGAGAATCCATTCACTGAGTATTTCTTGTAAGCTAAGAGCTATGTGTCTTTGAACTAACTAGAGTCACACATGGCACAGAGCAGGCTCTGAACACTGCTGGCTGCCTGGCTGGTTTCTAAATGACCAATATACTTGATGAAGCACTGAAACATCTCCATTCCTTTATTTTTTTGTGCTAGTTTGAATACAAAAAGACTGAAAACTATCTGCATCAGTAAAATGTGAGATAAGAACAGGACCTTAATAATACCTTTTTTCAGATTCATTTAATCAGATTAGTCCAAAAGACTAGACTGAAAGAGTTTAATCATTTTCACCACAGAGTTGACCTTAGAAGCCAGACAGCTGCTATATGTGGTTTTATAAGGACTGTAAAGGTTTGAACAGTTTTGAAGCCCTAGGTCTACTGTGAAATTGGGGATGCTGTGTTCTGAAATGAGAAGGTCACCCTTGGCAACTGACCTGTGTGTAACCAGGTATACACAAGATATAACTGAAATTGAAAACAGCTCTTCACCGGCCTTGATCCTCATTATTTTGCACATCATAGTTCATGTTGTTAAAAATATTTCTAAAACTCTCTCTTTTGATACTTCGGAAGGATGGAGGTATTTTATTAAGGAAAAGCTCAATCATAATCACATTCCTACTAAAAGTTCAAGGCAAGCCCTAGCATGACTCCTTCTGAGTGGTAGCCATATTGGATTCTGTCTGTTGTGGCAGAAGTCTCCTTCCTCCCTGTTAAAACACACTTCAAACAACAGCTTCTGCATCTCTTTTTGTCTGAAAGTGATATGTTTTCATATTTTAAATCTTAGAAACCATTGTTTGAAAGCATTAGCTCATCAATCAACCACAAATAAGGTTTTGTTGCTTTCTTTCTCTTAAAAAAATATTTTTGAAATAGAATTGAAAACTGGAGTATAAAACAAGAATACAGGAGAGAGATATTATTTAAACTCTCACAAAGAGCAGAGGTGTGATACTGGGGCTTATTTCAATATCAATCCTGATGTCTGATGGGAATACTTCACTTACTGAAGGCTTAAGCCTTAGCTATCTATATATAGCCAACTGAGCAGATGATTTCACTGTTTACTGTAGATGTTAAAGCCAAAGCAAAAAGAATGAAACAGTAAAATAAATTTTTCTCTGCATTCCCAGTAGAATGTCAATGATTGTGCAGACATGAAGTGACTAACAAGAACGTGTCTCTACATTTTAAAGACAGCAATAGAAAAGAAGTGGCAGCAGAGCAAGATTTTCTAGCAAGTTAGAAACCTATAGGTAGGTTGTGGCGTGAGGATGGAAATGCCGTCAACCTAGACTAGCTACTCTTCCACAAGCTGAGCTACAATATTTGAAATTAAACTGTACAGTCTTTGAAATACTCCATTTTCCCTGAACATCCACACAGTAAGTCAGGTCTTAACAGCCTGTATGATAGCCCCAATTCTGACCTCCTATTGCAAAATAAAAATTCTTTGGGAGTAAAAATTCTTCCACACTTCTCTTCCCTGACCTCTTTATCCAAACTCTAGAACCACCTCTAACATGGAGCCAAACTACCTAGCCCCTCACTTTTAAGCCAGTTGACAGTGGACAAAGTACTTAACCACTCTGTGCCTCAGTTTCCTCATCTTACAAGTGAAGGTAATAATAATTTTTAGTTCATAATGTTCTTATGAACATTTTCTTAATAGTTCATAATGTTTCTTGTGAACATTCAATTGTAAAGGTTTAAACAATTTTTGTTGCATAGAAAGCGCTATTTGTAATTACTACCTGTGAGGACTCTGATTTTTTTTTTTTTTTGCTAAAACACACACATACACCCCACTTACCAATATCACAGAAATGCCATTATTAATCAATACATTATGATTATTCTAGAAGCACTAGGTTAATTGCATGTTTTTCACCTGAGTGTTCATCATTTTCGCTGAAGATCCTTGGACAAGATGACCTTTGTGTGTCACATCACTCATAATTTCTTCTTCAAATAGTCAGTAAGAAACTCACAGGCATCACAAGTGAATCTAAGCTTAACCCCCATTGGCCCAGAAGCCATCCTTACTTTCTTAGTCTGAGAAAGTTCTCTCTGCCAACCTACTCGTAGCAGGAGAAAATGCTAACTCTGTAGTTTGGCAGAGACAGCTGGGAACTATTCCACTAGATGTTTAATCAATGAGGAGGTGGCTGAAGAAAAATTTTTAGGTGTTAGGTGTAGCTTGGCTAGAACAGCATGTCGCAGAGAAGTTCAAAATATTGCTAAATCAGAGAACCAACCAGCAATCATCTTCTCTCCTCTCCCTTTGCCCTCTCTTCTTAGATTAAGATTGTAGACAAGACAGACTACCAAGAATCATGACCAGCGGTATATTTCCATAGTGTTTTGGATTGAATTGTATCCCTCAAAAATGGCCAGGTTCTCAGTATTATTCTCAGTATTTGTCCTCCATTTTGTGACCTGATGTAATCATCCTATGTTTTGTGAATCCTAATCTCTATGATGTTAATGAGGCAAGATGCAATCTACAGGATTAGGCTGTTTCTTGAGTCAATCTCTTTTGAAATAGAAAAGAGATTAATCAAACAAGTAATTAGGTAGTTAGGGACCTAATTACCATCAAGAAAGGAGAGCCAGGAGCAGAGCACATCCTTTGGAACCAGGGTCCCTGAAGTGAGAACCTTCTAGACCCAAGGGAAGATTGATGCCAAGACACATGGAAACCTTCAAGGGACACGAGGCCCACAGCTGTTGAAAGGAGATAAAGACCTTCCACCAGAGCCAACAGAGAGAGAAAGCTTTCCCCTAGAGCTGGCACCCTGAATTTGGAGTTCCAGCCTCCTAAACTATGACAGAATAACTTTCTGTTGTTAAAGTCATCCACTTGCGGCATTTCTGTTATAGCAACACTAGATAACTGAGGCAAGGAGGCTATAATTCCCAGTTAACCGTGTTTGTTCAGATAAACAGAAAATGTATAAGCTTGAAGCAGATATCACAGTTGAAGGGCAACCACAGAATCAAGCTTAGCCTAACTTAAAAATGGCTGATAAGACACTGAATGTATCCCCTATTGCGCCCAGTCCAGCCTTTCAGATCCTGGAATCAGAGAATGTTATAGCTCCGGAATTAAACTGAATATAGTGCTTCTGTATCATAAACATGTACTTAATTTGGATTTCTTCTTAAACAGCTGGAAACTATCAAATAATCTCCCCTTCCTTCCTTACTCCCTTCAACATTCCTTACTCTGCCAGCCACATCTTAGTTCTTTCTTCCTCCTTGCAAAATCTCTTACCTTTTTTCTTCTCGTCTATCCTGTACAGTCTGAAACCTGTCATCGCTTAATGGCTATGTGGAGGTAGATGATCAGATTCTTTGCAAACTTCTTAAGGGAGAGATGTTACCAATAATATGTTAGCACAGCCAGTAATTATTAATGCTTATAATACCTAGCACTGTGCAGGATACTATAAGAGACACAGCAGAAATATAAGACATATACTTTGAATTTAGGAGACATGTTTATTATTAATATTTCCTAATGCACAGCAATCCCTACTCTACCAGGTTCTAAGAAAATTGTTAGTAAATTCCAGGTGAGGTGAATGATTTTATGGTAACAATAAGTGGGTGCCAAATATACTTCCCATTTCCCTAACCCCAGCCAAACAAAAACATTAACTATCTCCAGAACTAAGAGGGTCTGAAGGAGAAGACATCAAATCACATGACAAACTCCTCAAATGCAAGGACATAATTAGCTGTTTTCTCTAAGCTTGATAAATGAGTCAAGCTTGGTCTTAAGAAAAAAAAAAAAAAAAACCTCACATCTGTTTCTTGTAATTCATTAAGTGGCAAAATGCCATTCCCCTGGTTCTATACACCTATTGTTTAATGTGGCTCTATTTCCAGCAGTCTGGATGGTGTTCTCTCAGTTGGACAATGTTTTTATTCATATAGATGTAGCCATTCTGTTATTGGAACTGTATGTTTGAAATAGACTTACAATGTCTGGAAAGAAGAAGAAAACACTCAGAAAAAAAAAGCATATAAAGGTTTGTGTTTTTTTCATACTTTTTGCCCCTTCCACAAATATCAAACACATTGTACTCCCCAGAACATCTTTACAGAAACTAGTTACCAAAAGACTAAAAGACTAGTTTTAGATTGAGGCTAAGTGAATGAGTTTCAATTTCTCATTGCTCAAATACTCACAGGTCTCCATGAGACACTCTTGTGTTTCGTGGAGAAAGTCTAATGCTCCTGCTTGTCTTATAATGCTCAAAATGGCAAACAGATACTCCCACTTAAAAAAGAAAAAAATGAAGATTTTGTTTTTTTGTATCCTAATTTTGTGTTACTATATCATATCAACAGCTTCTGATTTGAGACATCATTTTGAAGAGACAAAATGGGTAGAGAGCAGAGAGCCTAACATTTTGGATGGCAGTATGGGAAGCAATCAGAGAGAATTTCCTCATGAAATATTTCTACAGAGATGAAAGGAAATTTGTTGGTTCCACCGACAAGGGATGAGCAAGGAGAAACTGGTTGGCTACTTTGGGGAGAAGGAACTTTTTAACTTAGTGGTCTTTAGAATCCCACCAAGTTCTCTTGTTCATTGATTCCATACCTTTATTTTATTTATTTTTTTTTAAATTAATGACCAGATTTGTTAAGGAGATAACAGGAAGGAACATCTGAGTAATGAGAAAAGCTGCCTGTCAATCATGAAGTAATTTAATGGGTGAAACAGAAAGTGATCACTTGAAAAATGGGTGGCCACAGGGTGCAACACCTCATCAAATTTCTTGCTGGTGAAATCCTCTTTCTTTGCTGAGAAATGTTCATTTGCTGAGCTTTCACAGATGTAGAAATATGGACTCAGCAGGTTGCAAAGCCAATTGGTGGTTTCAACCGTGTCACTTACAAGAAGAATTTGATAACCAATTCAGAAATGAATTGTGCTCCTTTCCTCGATTAGCGCAATTCATCAAACCCATTCTGCTGTTCCAAGTGCACAGTCTTGAGCCTTATTTATTGTGGAACTTACGTACTCACTCTTTCCAGATGGCAAAGCTCTGAGGTTTAGGCAGGGAGTGGTGAGAGAAAAGAATCTTTTAGAAACTCTAGTGAATTATACTTTGTTGAGCAATAAAAATTAATATTCTAGCAAGAAAGACCTAGAAATACAACTTGTGTTGAGTAAGTAGTACTTGTTCATGCCAAAACTTATAGGACAATAATTATATTGACATTTGTGTTCCTTATCAAATAAACCACAGAAATATGACAATAGGAAAATGAAGCTGAAAATAGCTGAGCAAGCAAAAAACACCCTGTAAGAAAATCTGGGCTTAATATGCATCTGTTTCTTACTAAATTAACTAATGTCACTAAACTTTGACCTTCTGGACTATAAATCATGACAGATAATATCTGTTTGGTGTTATCTATTTCTTGGGGCAGTTACGTTGGTCAAAAGAGCATAAATATGCATTAAAATGCTTTTAAAACTGAAATGTGTTCCTCAAGTGAAAGGTGCTGAGAAAATTTGGGCCAGAGAGCTACATGGCTTTCATGAAACAGGCAGCTAATTAGTTATGGGATTGGGACTCAGAGCTGACTGTCTTTATTTGTTTTGCAGCAATCTTTCCTCTCTAGACCCTATTACCTCCCAATTTCTCTCTGTGAACCAATTATGAAACCAAGATAGCAATTTTCAAAGACATGCTTTAGAAATGAGCAATGCACTCAAGACTTTACCACCCAAAAAGAATTGGAAGCGTGTTTTGGTTACCTAGTGCTGCTCTGACAGGACTGTATACCACAAACAGGATGGCTTTAACAAACAGTTTATTCTTACAATTTGGAGGTTTTAAGTCTGAGTTCAAAGTGCCAGGCTCTAGGGGCTAGGTGAGTGCCCCTCAACCTTGAACTTTAGCTTTGCCTACTGCTCCCAACCCACTGAAGCTTCACTCAGACAGCTGCTGGCTGCTAAGACTTACAAGCCCAAGGATGACAATACATAGTCTGATTTCTTGACTGCTGCTTCCATTGGTGTTGATTATGGAACCAAATAACATGAAATCTTTGACAACTTCAATCTTTTCTCCATTTATCATGATGCTGCTTATTGGCCCAGTTGTGAGGATTTTCATTTTCTTTATCTTGTGGTGTAATCCATACTTCAGTCTATAGTCTTTAATCTTCATCAGTAGGTAAGGAGTTCTGGTGATGGTGCCTAAGCCTTTTGACTACTAACCAGAGTTTGGCGTTTCAAACTCACCAGTCATCTTCACTTACAGCAAGCAAGATTGTGTCATCTGCATATCGCAGGTTGTCAATGAGTCTCTACTCCTGATGCCATGTTCTTCTCCATATAGTCCAGCTTCTTGAATTATTTGCTCAGCATACAGAATGAATAAGTATAGTGAAAGGATACAACCCTGACACACTCCCTTCCTGATTTTAAACCATGCAGTACCCCCTTGTTCTGTTCAAATGACAGCCTCCTGGTCTATGTACAGGTTTCTCATGAGCACAATTAAGTGTTCTGGAATTCCCATTCTTCTTAATGTTATTCATAATTTGTTATGATCCACACAGTTGCATGCTTTTGCATAGTCAATAAAACCCAACTAAACATCTTTCTGGTGTTCTTTGCTTTCAGCCAAGATATCTCTGACATTAGCAATGATATTCCTTATTCCATATCCTCTTCTGAATTCAATTTGCATTTATGGAGGTTACCTGTTGAGGTATTGCTGCAATTGTTTTTGAATTATCTTCAGCAAAATTTTACTTCCATATGATTTTAATAATATCATTCAATAATTTCCACATTTTGTTGGATCACCTGTCTTTGGAATAGACATAAATATGGATCTCTTCCAGTCAGTTGACCGAACAGCTGTCTTCTGAATTTCCTGACATAGACATGTAAGTGCCTCCAGCAAAGCATCCGTTTTTTTAAACATCTCAGTGGGTATTCCATCTGTTCTGGTTACCTAGTGTTGCTCTGACAAGAATATATCACAAATGGGATGGCTTTAACAAACAGGAGTTTATTCTTACAATTTGGAGGCTTTAAGTCCAAGTTCAAAGTGCCAGGCTCTAGGGGCTGGATGAAAGCCCCTCAACCTTGGGGTCTAGCTTCACCTCCTGCTCCAGGCCCACTGGAACTAGAGGCGTTTCTTCACTCAGACAGTTGCTGGCTGCTGAGGATGAGAAGCCCCAAGGTTGACAAGTAAAAAGGCACAGTCCTGATGTTACCAAACCACACGCCAGGCTGTTAACTTAAGTCTATTGTAAGTCCCAAGGTCGGCAGAGCATGGCAGGCTGCTGAGCAATGACACAGTTACATGCAGGGTCCAAGTGTGCCATATGCTAGAGACCATTCCCAAGGCTTCTCCTTATATACAGGAAGCAGACCACATCCCAAAGTCAACTTACTCAACCGCTTGTGATAAATCCCACCATGGAGTTGATTGCCAATCCCATCATTGGGAATAACTACCACCAGCTGCCCAGCCACTCAACCAGGCCCAGCCAAGTTGACACACAAACATAACTACCACACAATCAATTCCTGGAGCCTTGCTTTTTGCCAATTCCCTCAATGCAGTTTCGATTTCCTCTTTCAGTACCATTGGTTCTTGATCACATGTCACCTCCTGAAATAGATGAACATCGACCAGTTCTTTTTGGTACAATGATTCTATGTATTCCTTACATTTTCTTTTGATGTTTCCTGCATCATTCACTATTTTGCCCATAGAATCTTTCAATATTGCATGTTGAGGCCTGAATATTTTCTTCAGTTCTTTCAGCTTGAGAAATCTGAGCGAGTTCTCTTTTGGTTTTCTAACTCCAGGTCTTTGCACATTTCTTTATAATAATTGACTTTGTCTTCTCGAGTTGCTCTTTGATATCTTCTGTTCAGCTCTTTTGTCTTGTCATTTCTTCCATTTACTTTAGCTACTCTCCGTTCAAGAGCAAGTTTCACAGTCTCTCTTGACATCCATTTTGGTTTTTCTTCCTTTCCTGTCTTTTTAATGACTTTTTGCTTTCTTCATGTATGATATTCTTGATGTCATCCCACAATTCACAATTCATCTGTTTTTCAGTCACTGGTGTTCAATGAATTTAGCCAATTGCAAAAGGACAATTATTGTATGAGACCACTACTGTAAAAAGTTAAGAAAATGTTTACACACATAATGAATTGTTCTGTGGTTACCAGGGGTGGGGTGGAAAAGAGGGAAAATCACCAATCAGAGGGCCAGGTATTAAGTTGGGTGCAAGGAAAGGCAATATACAATAAGGTGGAGGTCGG